ATGGATGGATGGATGGATGGGTGGGTGGATGAATGGATGGATAGATAGATGGGTGGGTGGGTGGGTGGATGGATGGATGGTTGGGTGGGTGGATGATGGATGGACGGACAGATGGGTGGATGAATGGATGATGAATGGATGGATGGATGGGTGGATGAATGGATGGGTGGATGATGGATAGGTGGATGAATGGATAGATAGATGGGTGGGTGGAAGAATGGATGGATAGATGGGCTGATGGATGGATGAATCTCTATTGTGTCATTAGTTTAAACCTGTAAAAATAAGCAATGGATGGATGGATGAGTGGATGAGTGGATGGATGTCTGTCGTGTCTTTCATTTAAACTGCGGCTTGTTTTTCCGTCACGTCGCTCGCTGACCTCAGAGTTTTCTTCAGATCTCTGAGAAGTTCAGTCTGAGCTGCCACCGTGTCGACGCGTGAACCGGACGACGTGCTCGTGTGAATGTTTCCTCACCGTCTTCGTTCAGGAAGAGCTTGTTGAACCGCAGGCCGCTCGGCTCCTTGCCGATGAAGCGGTGAACGTACTCTGTGCCGTGGTCGTGAACGGCAATCGAGTATTTCAGCGGTTTGACGCACGACTGCAGACAGAAGGGCACTTTGGTGTCTCCGACGGTGTGCCTGACAGAAAACACAACGTAACTGGACTTTTTGGCGATTAGTGCAGGTTCGAGTGCTCGATTTAACGAAAACTTTCATCTAAAAACTGCTGATCAAATCAAATTGTGATCTGAATCTGACACAAATACATTTTATTATTTCTCTGAGTTAAGACCAAATTCTTTAGCTTCTATCCTGATCTTGTGAAGTTTAATTATTATTAACAGAAAAAAACAACATATTAACAATATCATGTAGAAAAGCCTCCCAAGATGTTCCTAAATCTTGTTTTTCCTTGCTCCGATAGAAACCAACACTCATCCAGACTCTGGTATTGTAACTGATGTTTCTGTCGATTCATTTGTATTTCTCTAGAAATCAACAACAGAATTCAACGTCTGCAGGAAAACAGACGACTGACCCTTTCTCTACGTCCCACTGTTCAACACGAAGTGCTAAAAGTTCAAATAAAATTTAAAAAAACAACGATAAAAGTGAAATGTTTTTGGAAGACTTACTGATTACAGAAACCTTTTCTCACATTTAGAATTGATGAAAAGATTTATCATCTGAATAGCATAGCATTTCCTGCGAAAATGCAGTGTGAATGCTTATTGCTGAAGAACTTGCTGAAAAACAGCTGAAATTTGCTAAAAACATGCTGAATTGTAGCTGAAATAGAAAAACAGGCTTAAATTAGCAGAAGAAAGCAAAAAGAACACGCTTGCTCAATTATGCTGTAAGAAGCAGAAATGAGCACAAAAACGTAGAAATTATCCAAAAAAAAAAAGCTGAAATTAGAAAAAAACTGCTGAAAAGTAGCTAAAAAGGAAGAACAAAGCTTAAATTACCAAAAGGAAGCGGAGAAGCACTTTTTTGGTTGAATTACCGGTAGACTAAAAAAAGCTGAAATGAGTGCAAAAAATGGAATTACCTGAAAAAGCTCAAATTAGCATAAACAGATAAATAGTAGCTGAAATATCAGAAAAAGCTAAAACTAGCAGAAATAAGCTGAAAGGAGCATAACGTGCTGAAATGAGCAAAAATAATTTGGAGAAAGCAAATAAATGTTGCAGTTGGCAGAAAGAAGCTGAAATGAGCACAAAACAGCGGAAATCAGCTGAAATTAGCTGAAAAAAAAGTTTAAATTTGCACATGGAAGCTGAAAGAAGCTGAACCAGAACAAAATGTGAAAGTAAAAGGTTGTAAACAGATCTAAAGATTTGAAGGAGGTAAAATGAGCTAAATTAATTTTCTATAGAAATAATATGGCAGAAAAGGCTAAATATTTCAAAAAGCTAAAGGTGCACCAATACCAAAAGTCACTGCAGGATTGTCCTGAACGAGCTGAATGTTTTGATTTGTTGAAATAGCCCAAAAATTGTGGAATGAGAAAGATGCTGAAAAATGTACGGAAGAAAAACGGATCACAATATTTAGACCAAAACAAACAACAACCTGCACATAAATAAACACATGAATCGCACCTTTGTCCATCAACAGTACACAGAGCGGCGCCCCACAGGTCCGGGCTGAACCGAGCCAGCTGGGGAATGTAGTCCGCCACCTGCAGCAGGAAGAAAAGTTAAACTAAAGGCTTTAGCAGGTTTTTATTTCTTTATGGGTCAAACCTTAAAAAATAAACTAAAATCTAGAGTGTTCATGGTAAGAGCAACCGCCAGAGTTACTTGTAGGAATAAGTCACAAAATTATAATTCTTTTTTTTTTTGTTCTGTTTCTTACTGTGCTGATGCATAAAAATATATAATCTCTCATTAGTTTAGACTAGTAGTTCTCAAACTGTGGGGCGTGCCCCCTATGGGGGCCCCAGGTCTTGCCCCACTTTTTTTTAACCAGTCTGGCAAGCGGAACTAACATTGCAATACCTTGTTGCAGTCCGATCCTGTTTTAAGGATGCACAAAACAACAGATACCTTTTCTATCAGCGCTATATTTGTTAGTTTTCTCTTTAACAGGGTGTACGGTTTGGAAAATGAAGAGGCATGTTTATCAATAAAATCAAGAATTGTAATCGAGCATAGCTAAAGTTCCAAGTCAACCCAGCTGAGGTGAGTTCTCCACGTCTCACTTTGATTTCTGATTCTGTTGAATCCGTCTAGTTTGCTTGTACAATTACCAGGTGCAAATGCAGGTCTTCAATGTTCAAGTACTTTTAGCCACACAAAACTCCATAAAATTGTTATTTTCAAATATACGTAATAACCCTCATAATGTGTTTTTGCCTATATATAAAACTTAGTTATATTCAAAAGTGGGACATTTTTAAAAAGTATTGCACAGTTAGTCATTTGTGCAGTACAAAATGCTTTTAGCCATTTTTATCTACCAGTCTGACAAACTGCCTTTACTTCACTTAAACAGATTCAATTTTAAAGATTTCAGTTTATGATGAGAGAACTTGAGCATTTCAAGTTAATAGTTTGTTTTAGGGGGGACAGGTGTGTGGGGACGCACATCATTTTCTTTCTCTAAAGGAGGGCCACACTAAAAGTGACAGGAGTTTTTGTGTCAAGATTGGTAATAATGTATCTGCTTCAATGCCTTTTTCCTGCGGTGTCCCACAGGGCTCGATTCTTAGACCCCTTCTGTTTTCATTCTATCTGCTCCCTCTGGGGTCTGTCCTGAGGAAACATGGTCTTTCATTTCATTGTTATGTTGATTATTGTCAGATTTACCTGCCCTTGAAACCAGCTAGTGCTTGCTCCATTCACCCTCTGTTAAAATGTCTGGATGACATTAAGGCATGGATGGTTTCAAATTTCTTAAGTTTTAACGATCAGAAGACTGAAGTCATTGTGTTTAGCCCTAGCTCAACCGCCGCCTCTGATCCTGTAAACCTGGACTCCCTTCAGCCATATTTTAAGCTTTAAGCAGTCTGTTAAAAATCTCGGGATGGTTTTAGACTGACTTCAAGTTTGACAACCAAATAAACTCTGTTCTGTGGAAAAGCTTCTTACAATTAAGGCAAGTGTTGTCCAGATCCGACCTTGAAAAACTAGCCCATGTCTTTATCACGACCCGACTGGACTACTGTAACACACTCTATATGCTGGGGTCAGCAGGGTGCCCATTTCATGCCTCCAGCTCGTCCAGAATGCTGCTGTTCAGCTCTTAACTGGAACTCGTAGGTTTGAGCAGATTACACCAGTTCTGTCCTCCCTTCACTGGCTCCCTGTGCGTATCAGAATTGATTTTAAAATTCTCCGGCTAACCTTTAAGTGCCTAAATGGCCTTGTACCCTCTTACCTCTTTGAGCTACTGGAACCATATATTCTATCTCGAGCCCTGAAATCATCCGATCAACTGCTTTTGACTGTTCCAAAAACAAAAATGAAGCTCAGAGGGGATCAGGCATTTTCAGTCATGGGCACCAACATTTGGAGCAACCTGCCCCCCAACATTAGGCAGGCCACCTCCCTTCCTGCGTCTAAATCTCTGCTAAAATACATGTGGTATTTCACACAGTGCGAGTTGATTTAGTATTTGTTGTGTTTTTATGTTTTTCCATTTAATGTGTTTAATTACAAACCGGATTCCAAAAAAGTTTGGACACTAAACAAATTGTGAATAAAAACTGAATGCAATGATGTGGAGATGGTAAATGTCAATATTTTATTCGTAATATAACATAGATGACAGATCAAAAGTTTAATCTGAGTAAATGTAGCATTTAAAAAAAAAAAGATGTTTATTCAAAATTTCACAGTGCCAACAAATCCCAAAAAAGTTGGGACAAGTAGCAATAAGTGCCTGGAAAAAGGAAACTGAGCATATAACGAACAGCTGGAAGACCAATTAACACTAATTAGGTCAAGTGACAACATGATTGGGTATAAAAAGAGCTTCTCAAGAGTGTCAGTGTCTCTCAGAAGCCAAGATGGTAAGAGGATCACCAATTCCACCATTGTTGCGCAGAAAGATAGTGCAGCAATACCAGAATGGTGTTACCCAGCGTAAAATAGCAAAGACTTTTAAGTTATCATCATCAACCGTGCATAACATCATCAAAAGATTCAGAGAATCTGGAACAATCGCTGTGCGTAAGGGTCAAGGCCGTAAAACTCTACTGGATGCTCGTGATCTCCGGGCCCTTAAACGTCACTGCACCTAAAAACAGGAATGCCACTGTCAAGGAAATAACAGAATGGGCTCAGGAATACTTCCAGAAAGCATTGTCAGTGAACACAATCCACTGTGCCATCCGCCGTTGCCAGCTGAAACTCTACAGTGCAAAGAGGAAGCCATTTCTAAGCAAGCTCAGACGTTTGCACTGGGCCAGGGGTCATTTAAAATGGAGTGTGGCAAAATGGAAGACTGTTCTGTGGTCAGATGAGTCACGATTTGAAGTTCTTTATGGAACACTGGGATGCCATGTCATCCGAACCAGAGAAGACAAGGATAGCCCAAGTTGTTATCAACGCTCCTTTCAGAAGCCTGCATCACTGATGGTATGGGGTTGCATGAGCGCTTGTGGCATGGGCAGCTTGCATGTCTGGAAAGGCACCATTAATGCAGAGAACTATGTTCAGGTTCTAGAACAACATATGCTCCCATCTAGACGTCATCTCTTTCAGGGAAGACCCTGCATTTTTCAACACGATAATACCAGACCACATTCTGCAGCAATCACAACATCATGGCTACGTAGGAGAAGGATCCGGGTACTGAAATGGCCAGACTGCAGTCCAGATCTTTTACCTACAGAGAACATCTGGCGCATCATAAAGAGGAAGGTGTGACAAAGAAGGCCCAAGACGATTGAACAGTTAGAGGCCTGTATTAGACATGAATGGGAGAGCATTCCTATTTCTAAACTTGAGAAACTGGTCTCCTCTGTCCCCAGACGTCTGTTGAGTGTTGTAAGAAGAAGGGGGGATGCCACACAGTGGTAAAAATGGACTTGTCCCAACTTTTTTGGGATTTGTTGACGCCATGAAATTTGGAAACAGATTTTTCCCTTAAAATGATACATTCTCTCAGTTTAAACTTTTGATCTGTGATTTGTGTTCTATTCTGAATAAAATGTTGACATTTGCCATCTCCACATCATAGCATTCAGTTTTTATTCACAATTTGTTTAGTGTCCCAACTTTTTTGGAATCCGGTTTGTAATTCTTCAATACTATTGGTGTTATTTTTTTTTCTCCATTAATTTTACTCTCATTGTGAAGCACTTTGGTAACAGCTACCATTTTAAATGTGCTTCATAAATAAAGTTGACTGGACTAAAAACAGTTTGAGAATCACTGGTTTAGGCTGAAACTTAATCAGATTATTTTTAAAAGCAAAGTGGATATTTTCATATTTTAATAAACCGATTTAAACAAACCTGGCCTCCGGACAGGTTTTTGGCGTTCTCGTAGAGATCATCGATGTGGGCGCAGAACGTTTGGAAGTCTGGGATGACAAACTTCTTCCTGAAGGCCTGAGTGAGCAGGACGATGTTACTCTGGACACATCTGGGACACAAAGCAGGTAAGTGGAATTAAAAAAAAAGTAAAAAAAACTTCTGATCATGCCTATATCATTGAAAAGAAAAAGCTTGTGAGGAGAAGGGTTCAGTTTTATTTTCAAAATAATATGAATCCATAGTTCTAAATTGATATTTTTTTAAAAAAACACACTGATAGTAAGTGCAGAGTTGACATGACTTAAAATGTTAAGTTCATCGTTTTTATTTATTTTCAGTAAACCAGTTTAAAGGTTGGGAGCTACGTTTGCAGACACAGAAGCTTCTTGAAATATGTATTTTTCCTAAAGAAAGTAAACATTTGAACCCTTTTTGTTGTTTCACTTGAATCTTTGTCAGATGGCAGTTTTAAAATGTTGCCGTATCTGGTTGTTCAGCTGTGGTGACTCCCGTGTCGTCAGGCTGCGAGGTGGAAGCCGAGCGATTTGTGGTTCAACCATCTCTTTGCATCAAACCCATCTAATCCGTGCAGAAACAACCCCCCCGCCCCCCACCCCTCTACATCACATGCTTCTCTGTGAGAGGCTGAGCTCTATAAATAAGTAGGGGGCGAGGAAGTGATGGATGGAGGCCAGGAGCAGCCGGTACCGAGGTCTGCTTCCTGGTGAGTCGTCATATGCCCCGACTCTTCGAGCTGATGAGCTCTTCTGCCTCCGTTTCCAGCGACGGGGGAGGGAGGGGTGCACCTAACATCCCCTCTGGTGACGTCGGTGGGATACATTTACATTTTTTAAAAGCCAGAGGTGCGTCAGTTGTTTGTTTTCCTGTTAATCGCCTGCTTTTTCAGGTGTTGACTATCCAACAAAGTTCAGCCAGGTCATCTGGACGGTTTCTATTGTTGTTGAGACGTTTCGTCCTTCATCCAAAGGACTTCATCAGTCCGCGGAGCCGCAACCAAACGCGGTACCGCAAGCAGCACACTCCCATAGCAGACCATCCAGTTTGTTGGCGATAAGATGTGGCTCCTCGGACTGATGAAGTCCTTTGAATGAAGGACGAAACGTCTCAACAAAAAAAGTTCTAGGATTGTGCCGCTCGGGGGTGACTGCATGTTGGAGCAGCTCTGTTACATTCATGCTGAGATTTTGCTTTTGGAAACTTTAATTCTTCTTTATCTGGACGTAAATCACTTTTTTTTTTTTTGATGATTGTTTCCTTTGGTATCGGATGCTGTGCGGCTGGAAGGATTTTTATTCAAACTTTTTAGTTTTGGACATTTGTTATGATGCGTAAGCATAACAGTAAGGTGTACTTTTTACAACCGGGAACCTGATTAACATCTCAAAAGCTCAAATAAAATCTCAGCTACGGCCCCAAATCTCAAATGAGTTGAAAAGGAGGCACCATAGATGCATTCCCGTCTCCTTGCCGGCTGTGCTAAAGTGCCTAACTGAGATCCTGGAAATGGCAGGAAACGTGGCTCATGACAGCAGAAGGACCGGGATCATCCCCTGGCACCTGCAGCCAGATGTCTGCAGCGACAAGGAGCTCAGCAGGCTGCTGGGAGGAGTGGCCATCACTCTGGGAGTAGGTCTGGCCAGCATTCAGGAAGTCCTGCAGCCCGGAGGAACCGAGAGAACAGCTGAGTCTGGGTGGATGGATCGGATGGCATCTGCGGCCATTTTCTTCAGATCCGCTGTGGGACGGACCTTTACAAGAGATCCTTCCTGCCTACAGCCATCAGTATCTATAACATCTCTTAATGAAACGAGGATAACGAGTTGCAACAATATTTAATTTCCCTTTGGAATTAATAAATTATTAGTGAATTGAATTGAAAAAGAAACCATCCAGATGACCTGACTGAACATTGTTGGATGTTTTTACCTGGATTATTGAGCAAGAACTTTGATGTTTTGAACCACTTTGGCTACGGCTGCCCGAGAGGAGTTGACGGGGAAGAGGGCGGGCCCAAGAAACCATCTCATCACCCCTAGATCACTTCCCATGGTGGGGTGGCGCTCATCTCGTGATTTTGTCAACGGGGGGGGGAGGAACAGAGATACATCTGTGCCGACAGTCTCCGGGTGAGCGGAGTGTTTCAGCATTAGAGATGAGGCTTCCTTTAGCTTCTTAGCTAGCCTGTATTGCGAACCACTAGCTTAGCATTACGACAGTGCCTACAAGACGTGGGGGGTGCTCCCCTACCATTATACAAGCGCCCCGCTTGTATAATGGTAGGGGGAAACAGTGCACAAGCAAACTGGTTGGTCCACTATGGGAGTGTGCTGCTTGTGGGACACAGTTTGTTTGTGGCTCCTTGGACTGACGAAGTCCTTTGGATGAAGGACGAAACATCTCAACAAAAAAAAAGAAACCGTCCAGATGACCTGACTGAACTTTATTGAAATTTTTTTACCTGGATTACTTACTGAGCATGAACCTGGATGTTGTGACTATGTTGCATTTACTGTCATTGTGAAATAAAATAAAATAAAACCTTTGACCTTGTTTTGCTTACAACCCTCCACAGGCTGCGGCTGATGCACAAACAATGAATAATTTACTGCAGCCGGTGTAGACGCTGGCCAGCGTTAATTATTCTTATTCAGACTGTGATAAAAGATTCATGCTGAGCGAAGCAGAGTGCCGCTGAACGAAAACACCGACCCTGAACACGTTCCGTTTCAGATTCAGTAAATCCAGTTTGCTTTCTGCTAAACAGCAGCTGCTGGTTTGGTCCGTCTCTGCACAACACCAGACCTGAAATGTGTCTAATTAAATCTGCAAAAGAGAGCATACTTTTTGAAGAGGTGTCGGTCCAGCGCTCCGTCTGAGGTGGTCTTCATGGTCACCTTCAGCATCTCCATGCACTCCTTCAGTCGGGGGTCTCCTGTTCGAAGCCCCGTGGATTTAAGAGCCTGGAGGCAGAGGAGGAGACGAGAAATCAATACGGCAACGAGCCGCGAGGACCCTGAACAGAAGATCGATCATTGTGATTTAATAAAGAAGCGGTCTTGCTGACGTGCTGCAGTTTTAAGACATTTTTGTTGTAAAATCTTTTGTCCTGAGAGACTCACGGTGGTGAATTTGTGCGCAGGGATTTTTTCCTGACCCTCTGCGATGGTGTAAAAGAGCAGGTCCTCCAGGCTGGGCAGGATGCCTGGTTTCCTTCTCCTGCAGGAAACACAAACAAACCCCAACAAAAAAAAATAAATAAAAAAAGTGAGAAACGTCAAAAGCATCAGCCCAGAGATGGAACGGTGTTGGACACATGGAGAGGAGCTGCAGCGGAGGGAGCAGTTCTGCAAGGAGAAGCAGTGAGTACAAACATTAAACTGGCCTTACTGCACGGTTTAACTTGGTGGAAGAGATCGGAGCTGCTCAGAGCTTGAAAACACCGAGATCAAATCTTCTTTTCCACAGGTTAACCTGCTGCCAGAAGATCCAGTAAACTATTGAATACCAGCCAGGAACCAGTTTAGAAAGATCATAGTGTGAATGTTTATGAAGCATTCAAACTACTGTGATCCATTTGTCTCCTGCACGTTTTTCAGCATCTTTCTCGTTCCACCATTTTTGTGCCATTTCAACAAATAGATGAAAACATTCAGCTCTTTCAGGACAATCCTGCTAGGACTTTTGGTATTAGTGCACCTTATAGCTTTTTGAAATATTTAGCCTTTTCTGACACTTTTTTTTCCTCATAGAAAATGAATCAAGTTCATTTTACATCCTTCAACTCTAGATCTGTTTAGACCTTTTACTGCTCCTTTCACATTTTGGTCTGCTTCAGCTTCCTTCAGCTTCCTTCAGCTTCCTTGTGCAAATTTTAACCTTTTTTCAGCTACTTTCAGCTAATTTCAGCTGTTTTTGGATCCTTTCAGATTCTTTCTGCTGACTACAACATTTTAGGGCTTCTAACTTCTTTCTGCTAATTTCACCTTTTTGTACTGCTTTCAGCTAATATCTGCAAGTTTGACTTTTTCTACTATTTCAGCTACTATTTAGCTATTTTATGCTAATTTTAACTTTTTCAGCTAATTCCACCTTTTTGCAATAATCTCAACTAATTTAAGCCTATTTCAGCTAAATGTGCTCTCTCCACTTTCTTCTGGTAATTTAAGCTTCTTTCTGATTTTTTTTAGCTACTTTTCAGCTGTTTTTCTGCACTTTTTTTGTGCAAATTTCAGCTTTTTTCATATAATTTCCACTTTTTGTGCTCATTTTTGTTTCTTTCAGCCTAACTGGGCAACTTTCTGCTTTCTTCTGCTAATTTAAGCTTGCTCTACCTTTTCAGCTAGCCGTGTAGCATTTTTAGCTAATTTCAGCCATTTTCAGATAAATTCAACGTTTTTGTTTATTTCTGCTACTTTCAGCTTAATGAACTTATTTATGCTAATTTCTGCATGTTATGCTTTTTTACACTTTTTTCTGGTAGTTTCAGCTTTGTCTGCTATTTCAGCTACTCATTAGCTCTTTTTATGTTAATTTGATCTTTTTAAGCTAATTCTACATTTTTTCTGCTCATTTCAGTTCTTTCTATTTCTATCTGGTAGTTTCAGCTTCTTTCTGCCTTTTCGGCTACTTTTCAGCTATTTTTTTTTCCTAATTTCAGCTTCTTTTTTTAGCTAATACCTAAATTTTGTGCTCATTTCTGCTAATTTAAACCTAATTCAACAAATATGTGTTCTTTCTGCTTTCTTCTGCTAATTTAGGCTTGTTCTTCCATTTCAGAATGTTTTGTAGGTAATTTTAGCTGTTTTTCAGCAAGTTCTTCTGCAATAAGCATTCACACTGCATTTTCACAGGAAATACAATTTCTCTGGTTTATTTCGGGTCCAGATTGTGATTTTTTTTTTTTTTTGACTTGACAACATGACGATGCAAGATTCAGACTTCTTCACCCCCTCAGGAGGTTTCAGTGTGGACTCAGTCTGAACTGGTGCAGCTGTGAGGTGGAGGTTTGCCAACACCTCGGGACAGCCGATGTCCAGATGCTGGGTCAGCAGCTGGACGGTGCTGTTATTAAACCTGATCATCGTCTGAACATGAACAGGTGTTCATGCTGCATCTCAGCGTATATATAGTATAAACCTGATCTAAACATATCAGATTCATGTTTTTTTTTTTTTTTTTACTCCAGCTGATATTCAATAGATTTCCACTCCACGTCATCTCAGAGGATCGTTAGTTGTGGGTCAGGAGGCAGACGGTTCGACCCGCTCCCAGCAGCCTCTCTGCTATGACTCATATCAGAGAGGATTTGAGGTAAAGCTCTTACGATTACCTGCAGTGCATCATGGGAACACTGTGTACGTGCCGCGAGGTTGTCAGAAGTAAAGACAGAATTTAACGGTGAACAGTTCTTTTTTTTAATTAATTTGCCAAACATCACAGGTTGACATTTATTTTTACATAATTCGGCCAGACTACGTTCCTGCACTCGGCCTGAGCTGACGTTAAGTTCGCTGCTGTGGTTGACCTTTGACCTCATTATTAAAGCCTGCAGGCGAGAGTGTGAGTGGGAGGGAGGGGAGGACGGAGGGGGAGAAGGCTCTACTGCTACTGGAAAACAGACTCTTAACAACTAAAATAAAATAAAAGAGAAACATACTTACAAATGCAAAGCAAAGCAGATCAACAACAGGAAGAGAGAGACGAGCAGAAGGAATAATATTGAATTAGTGACAAATATTTACACATTAACCAGCAGACAAAAACAAATCGGGAATAATTCGCTAAAGCTGAAAGCTGCAGTCAGAACAATAAAACTAATAAAAGATAAAGCTGATCAAACGAAGAGAAATCACAAGAAATACTGGGAGACCGTTCAATGAATGGAAATATTTCAAAAACACAATAAACCTCGACGTGTTCATTAGTCTGAGATTCTGCAGAAACAAACGAAGAAATAAAACAAGCGCGTCAAATCATTGTTCTGTTAATGAGACCTCACAGCTGTCAGCCTCATCAGCAGCTGGGCAGAGGTGGAAACATCTGGATGAGCCTCATTAATGTTCTGGATGCTGGTCAAAAAAATAAAATAAATAAATAATAATAATAATAATTGCTGACGTGTTTCTGCGTCACGGAGAAATCTGGTTCTGCTCCACAGGGAAGAAGTGATTAATAAAAATAAATCCTCTTGTTTTATATTTTAACGTCACGGTGAATCCCATCGCTTTGAACTTGGACAGTTTTAACTTGAAACTAACGTCGGTGCGTCGCCTGAATAAATCTCGACGGTCAAGAAGCTTCGGCTCATTGTGTGAAAGTTCACGAAGCATTCTCACTATTGTGATCCATTTTTCTTCTGTACGTTTTTAGCTGCGATTCGCATCCCGCAGTTTTTATGCTACTTCAACAAATCATAAATCAAAACGTTCAGCTCTTTCAGGACAATCCTGCTATGACTTTTGGTTTTGGTGCAACTTTAGCTTTTTGAAATATTTAGCCTTTTCTGACACGTTCTCATAGAAAATGAATTGAGCTCATTTTACATCCTTCAAATGTTTAGCTCGGTTTACAACCTTTTACTGCTCCTTTCACATTTTCTTCTTCTTCAGCTTCTTTCAGCTTCCTTGTGCAAATTAACGCTGCTTTTTCAGCTGCTTTCAGCTAATTTCAGCTGTTTTGTGACCCTTTCAGATTGATTCAGCTAAATACAACATTTTTGTGCTTCTTTAACTTCTTTCTGCTCCTTCCAGCTTATTTCTGCTAGTTTCAGATTTTTCTGCTATTTCAGGTACTAGTTAGCTGTTTTTATGCTAATTTTAGCCTTTTCGGCAAATTAATCTTTAATCCATGTTTTGCATGCATTTCAACTTTTTTCAGCCTAATTCAGCAAAAATGTGCTGTCTCCACTTCCTTCTGGTAATTTAAGCTTCTTGCTGCCTTTTTAGCTACTTTTCAGCTTTTTTTAATTTATTTTTTATTGTTGGTTTCTGCTTTTTTCAGAACATGTCCACTCTCGTGCTCATTTCTGCTTCTTTCAGCCTAATTGGACAAACATGTTTTCTTTCTTCTGCTAATTTAAGCTGGTTCTACCTTTCCAGTTACCTTTTTGGCATTTTTAGCTAATTTCAACTGTTTTCAGATAAATTCAAGTTTTTTGTGGTAATTTCTGCTACTTTCAGCCTAATTAACTTATTTCTGCTAATTTCAGCTTGTTATGCTCCTTTCAGCTTATTTCTACTAGTTTCAGATATTTCAGCTATGTCAGCTACTATTTAGCTGTTTTTATGCTAATTTGAGCTTTTTTGGCTAATTCCACATTTTGCACACATTTCAACTTTTTGCAGCCTAATTCAACAAAAATGTGCTGTCTCCACTTCCTTCTGGTAATTTAAGCTTCTTGCTGCCTTTTTAGCTACTTTTCAACATTTTGTTGTTGTTGTTGTTGGTTTCCGCTTTTTTTTCAGAAAATTGCCACTTTCATGCTCATTTCTGCTTCTTTCAGCCTAACTGGACAAACATGTTTTCTTTCTTCTGCTAATTTAAGCTTGTTCTACCTTTTCAGCTACCCTTTTGGCATTTTTATCTAATTTCAGCTGTTTTCAGATAAATTCAAGTTTTTTTGTGGTAATTTCTGCTATTTTCAGCCTAATTAACTTCTTTCTGCTAATTTCAGCTTGTTGTGCTCCTTTCAGCATATTTCTGCTATTTCACCTACTACATAGCTGTTTTGTGCTAAATTTTGCTTCTTTAGCTAACTCCACATTTTTGGAGCTTATTTCAGCTCCTTCCACTTCCTTCTGGTAACTTAAGCTTTTTTCTGTCGTCTCGGCTGCTTTTCAGCATGTTTTTAGCTAATGTCAGCTTTCTGAGCTACAAGTAATTTCCTAATTTTTGCAATCGCTTCTGTTTATTTAAACCCAATTCAGCTAATACATGGTTGTTGTTTTTTACTTTCTTCTGCTAACTTAGGCTTGATCTTTCATTTCAGCTACAAATCAGCATGTTTTATTTATATAGTTTTTCTAATTTCAGCTGTTTTTCAGCAAGTTCTTCAGCAATAAGCATTCACTCTGCATGTTTGCAGGAAATGCAGTTTCTCTAGTTATTGATTATTGTTTATTAAGTTACCAACTGGTTCCATGTTTACAAAACATGTTCACACAAACAATTGTACAAATAAGGTGAATTTTTTTTAAACAAGCTGTAGAAATGTTAGCAGCTCCGCGAGGTTCTTTCTGACGATCATAACATGGGACAAACAGAGATGTAAAAGACGCTGTGTTTTTGATTTTCAGCCGCTCACTGCAGGTTTCGTTCCTCTGCAGCCGGCCTGTGTCTGATAGAGCTTTACGTTGCTGAATGGGACCGGTGGCGCTGATTTCACGTCTCTCTCAGGATAAATCTTTGTAAAGTGTTGACGGGGCGGCGCTGCACAAATCCATCTGACTTATGTGCACCTGGAGGCCCTGACAGCAGCCGGGCACCATGCCAGCTCGCAGGATTTACTGCAGAAACTGTGGAAATGTTGGAGGAGGAGAACACGCCCCCCCACCACCACCACTTTTAACCCTTTGTACGACAGAGCGCAGCCTCAGGACCCTCGTAAATCGTCTGGAGCTGGATGCGAGCGCAGGCGGGGCCCTCAGAGATGTTAAACACCTCGACTTCAATATCACATGAAACACATTCATTCCTGAGCACAAGACTCATAAAGGTGCAAATTCACACACTCATTGCACCAAACACGTCTATTCTGACATGGCACCATTTTCAATGTCAATCTGTAAAGTAATGCATGTGCTAATTTTAAATATGTGGAATCTGTCAAATTCGGAAGAGAAGTCAAAATCTTTCCTTCTAACCTACAAAGCCCTCAACAACCTAGCTCCATCTTATTTTAGAGAGCTTATTGTTCCATGTTTTCCTAACAGAGCACTTCGCGCTCAGACGGCAGGCTTACTCGCGGTTCCTAGAGTTTCCAAAAGCAGAATGGGAGGAAGATCTTTCAGTTATCAGGCTCCTCTCTTGTGGAACCGACTTCCAGTTTCTGTCCGTGAGTTTGACACATTGTCCAGTTTTAAGACTGGGATTAAGACTTTCCTTTGTGATAAATCCTATAGTTAGGGCTGGCTTGTTATGCTGCTATAGACTTAGACTGCTGGAGGACAAATTGACCTCATTTCCTTAAACGAATTGTGAAAATTGAATAGTTTTCATTTGATATTATTTTGATCTTTACGTGATTCTGGACCTGCCATTGTGTATCCGTTCCTCTCAAACCCAGCCGGTCGAAGCAGATGTCGCTTGTCCTGAGTCTGGTTCTGCTAAAGGTTTCTTCCTCGTGAGGGAGTTTTTCCTTTCCACTGTCGCCTTCATGCTTGTTCAAGATGACAGTGTCTGCTCCTCAGATAAATAATGTTAAATTATTATTTGTTTATATATATATGAATGTTTCTGTTCAGTGCCCTGAGACGACTTCTGTTGTGACTTGGCGCTATAGGAATAAACTGAAACGAATCTAAAAAAATAAACAATTATTGACCATTTTAATGTTTTTGGTTGACAGATGTATCTATCTGTTCCTAAGCGAACGTCTAACCCATCAGGCGCCTCAGAGTTCCTTTGTTTTCTGCTGTCTAAGAACTGATAAACGTTTAATGTGTTCCACAAACTGAACCTGGCTACTGGTTCCTTGTTTTAATCTCTAATCTGCCGCGTGGACACTTCTCAAGCCGAGGCGTCACAGAAACGGACAGGGGACTAAAGATGTTGGTTAAAAGGCAGTGAGCTGAGATCAGTGAGGACATAACTCGGCTGATAGCTGCAGATAACAGTCTGTGAACAGAACCATAAAACAGGCTAGTACTACAGCTAAACTGGATTCAGAATTTTAAGCGTAAACTACAACAGATTATAGTCGACTGCCGCTCCTGCTGATTATGCACTTTACTTCTTACGTTTTCCTACAGACTTCTTCAGCGCACACATACCTTTATTCTTATACAGCAGTCCCTCGCTAATTGGCAGTTGGAATTTCGCGGACTCGCTCCTTTGTGGTTTTTCAAATTAAATTGTACACGACACACGATTATCAACTTTAATATTACTCACGTGATTGGGACGGTATGGGATAAAAAGTTAACGAAAAAATTATACTTCGGACAGGCGCCGCCATTTTGTAGTTTTTTTTTTTCCAATAAGCCTATACTGTATCGCCATTCAAAAGGACTACGTTTCCCAGAAGCCCCGCCCAACAGTGCTTCTAGCCGTTGTTTTCTGCTGAAATGGAGGGAATGTTTTGATCCGATCTGAAGAAGTTGGGTTAGTCCCGTCGCAATAAACAATAAATCAACTAATCACATGATAAATTAAAATTATCAACCATATTTTCATTTATCAGCTTTATCGTTTCTTCGTGTCTCTCTCGTTCTACTGAAGACACTGGATGACAAAAAGCTCCGGTGCTCTTCACCGACCCCTCCCTTTCGCTTTTCTCTTTAAAATCCATTTTAACCATATAAAATTACGTTTTGGGATCGTTAAAAGCAGCTTAGCCGAGAAGCTAAACTATGAGCTAACAGGCCGACCTCGGGGGGGCGGGGGGTGTGGGGGAACCTCCTTCTTGTCAAAGCTCCAAAATTCACGGTTGAAACCCGTGCCTTTGTGTAAAAAGTTGTTTTTCTCTGCAGAAAGAAGCTGAGAACTTGTTTACTGATTTTTTTTTTTAATTAAAAGCTTTGTATGAAAAATGCTATGCTAAAGCGCTCAAACCACAATGAGCGTTCGCCATTTTGAGAACCGAAGAGAGACAGCCCATGTCACGTCAAGGGGCCTCCCTCCCATTTTTCTTAAAGAGACATGCTTCTCGCTCCCTCACTATCCATCCTTTGGTTCAAACAGTCTTATACTGCCATCTGGTGGTCGAAAAAGGTATTAAACGCAATTTTTTTTAAACATTTCTTCTTAAATTTGAAAATGACTAATTATTGTCAAATTTCAGACAATATTATAATTTATCGCAACAATTTCTGAGACAATTAATTGCCCAGCAAAATTTGTTATCGTGACGGGCCTAAGATTGGTCCTTATTCATAGTGACTTCGGCGCTCAGTGGATGCAGAGCGCCGTACGGAACCAACCGGGGGAATTGGACCAGAACCGGACTTTCAGCCTTTAGAGTTAAAAACATTGCAAGAGTGTGGGATGGGTTTATAAACCCTTAAAATATACATACCGTATTTTCTGTCGTATAAGTCGCATTAGTCAAAAAAAGCATCATGAAGAGGAAAAACACATAAGTCGCATATAAGTCACATTTATTATGAGTCACTGCTGACCCGTTGTGTTTATTACGCATTTATTTAATGGTCAAAACAACTTCATTTCGCCTGAGCAGCGTGGTGCTATCCATCCATTGCCGCCGGAGCCGCTAGCTCTCCAGCGTTCCTTCGCCTGCACCAGCTGAGTGAAGCGAGCGCGCACGGAAAGACTCGCTGTTGCAGTTCTTAAAAATTTTAAGCATCAGTCAAAAACTGCATTATAAATATAGAAAAAAATGTATACAAGTCGCTTGGACTTATAAAGCCCTATTCGCACGGGATTAGTTTTACCTAGGAATTCATATTCACTTCAATTCAAATTCAAAAATTCTTTATTAATCCCAGAGGGAAATTAAATGTTGTTGGAACCACATGTAATAAATAAATTACTCCCCATCGTCTGATTTTTATGTGGCGCATTCGCACGGGATAACCAAAGCCTGAGATTTAGCTGAAATTTACAGACATGTTCCGGATATGACGTTAACGCGCTGCGTTGTCACGACTTGCCCGGTCCCCGGTCCATATAATGTGTGGGCCGGGACGGTCTCAGGCTTTGTGATTTTACGAATCAGCACAAAGAAAACTAAAGAATGCACAATATAAAATGGTGTTAATCTACTTGTTATGGATGTATGTATATATATGGATGGATGGGTCAACTGATCGCGCGCATCTCCGCACCTGCTGTCATCTGCGGTGAAGGAAGTAGCAGCATAAAAGCCGTCCCCTACCCAGGACCATAAATTAAATTGATTTTTGGAACAGGGATATAGAATAGGAGCTTGCTCCGTCCACGCCAAGCATCAACCTGGTATTGCAGTATCTCCAGGACCGGTGCACGAGGAAAAAAAAAAAAAGCCAAAGCGAGCAGCGTGTTCATTTAAAATAGCCTTGTTCTATATCTATCCAAATGATTTTGCTTAAACAAAAAAAAACAACAAAAAAACGCCTATGGTCCTTACATATCGGATCCCGCCCATTTCCGTCCAAATCACAGAGATGCCTATTCGCATTGGATTAGTATTATCACAGGACGTCGGAGTTCAGCAAAATATAGTAGGTAATTTGCGGGGGAATTTTTACTTTACAAATTACTGACATGGCCGATTCGCACGGGATTAGCAACTCAGACAATCTCCGTAATTATTACAAATAGCATGTGGTCCCGAGGTAAAACTAATCCCGTGCGAATCGGGCTTACGTCGCAGGAATGACAAACCTATGCTAAAAACTGCGACTTATCCCACGGAAAATACGGTAAACGCTAAAACATATATATATAGTGTTTCTACTTGGTGGTTTTTCACTTATCGTGGGGGTGTCCTGAACGTAACCCCCATGATAAACGAGGGACTAGTGTATTATTTATTTTGACGCGTGGTTCTGTACGATGTAGTGAGGTACTCATTTATTTTCCAGGTATCTGGCAAAATAAAAGGTCAAATAAATAAGCGGGGTTATTCCAGTTGATATGATCTAATTTATTAGTCAGTCATTATTTATTAAATGGATCATCTAGAAAAGTCCTTGATGACGGAGCTGCTGAGAGATGCAGTCGTGCCTGACCTTCAGAAGACTTTGACTGGAGGCTGTTAAGATCAAAACCTGCTGAACTGAATTGAAGGACACTTTGAGCTGTCAGGTGAACACATCGCGAGAACAGGTCAAAGGTCAAAGCCGCTGAGCGACAGATGATGAGCTGCAGGATGAAGATGAAGCCGCTGGTCACGATGCACCGCTCGCAGCATCACGCATGATTCCATTTTCGGACGCGCGTATGTTATGGCTGCCGCGGCTGCTTTCATCAGTGCACGTTTATTATGTTTTTGTTGTCTTACTCACTTGTCCGCTGAGTCCTTGGCGGCTTCATGGCTGCCGTCACCTTTGGAGCAGAAGCCCCTGAAGGCGGCCTTTCTGTTCAGGCTCTGCGGGGCTCTCCACCCGGACACCGGCCTCCCTCCGCCGGGTGAGCTGCTCTGCGGGCCGGCGGAGCTGAAGCAAGCCGCGGGCAGCGCCTCCTTCACTCCGGCTGCCGCTCTGCGAGTCAGCGGCCGCTTCAGCTGGCTCTGAAACAGCTCCTTGAGCGCCACCGTGGAGCGAAACGGTAACATGTCGGCTTCGGCTGGGTTTGGAGTTCAGAAATGTCAAATAAAATCCAGAAAATCAGCGTTTCTGGATGAGAACCTGGCTCCGACTGGACGCGTCAGAGCTGGAGACGCCACAACCGAGGTCTCTGCACGCGCACGATTTGATTGGATTAGAGCGTCTATTACCTGTACCTGATTGGTCGAGACGACTGTCAATCACTGAAACGGTCTCGCCCATTGTTTTGACCCTATTTCCATTAACTCCATTAGGAAATGATCTGGATTGAACTCATTCACTTTTACTCGTTTATTTACTTATTTTAAAGTTAAATTTGAGAGAAAGGTTAATGCAAAAATCAATGTAGGCAGACATCTTACACCATTTTAATATGTAGCATGCTTTTTAAATTTTGTTTTATATCACATTTTGAATTTACTTTTCATTTTATATGCTTGCATATGAATGTTTATTGTTGTGTGTAATTAATTTGTTTTTTGTTGTTGTTTAAAACAGGTCTCGTAAATGAGTCCTCGTGACTCAACGAGACTAACCTGTATAAATAAAGGTTGAATGAATGAGTTAATGGTTTATCTGTTCGATAAAAGCAGCACAATTTTTTTTAAATGATTAACTTCAAAATGACATATAAACATTAGGTACACTTTGAGTAGGATTATTTACAGTAAAAGATGTGAACTAAACAATTCACATATTCTGTTTGCTGTGCCACTACCAAAAAAAACCCACAACAACTTTGCTTGTAATTTAAATTCCTGCAAGAATTTTTTAGGTTTTTGTGATTTTCATGCATTTGATTGCCTCTTTAGCCCTGAATTAAATATTCTGAGTGTATTTTATAACTAAATTTCGACTAAAGAAACAATAAATGCACAAATATGATGCTGAACAGAACAAAAACAAATGGGTCTTGTTAGTGTTTTCACTGTTGTTTCGATGATAAAGCTGCTATTATTGTATCTGAAAAGGTGAATAAATCATTTAACATGTCATCATCATCACCTTCAGCAGCTTCAGCTCTAGTTTTAGGAAGGAGATCCTAAATAAGAAGATCAAAATATAAGAACTTGTTAAAAAAAAAAAAACAAAGATTAAAATTGATGTGTTGTCCTACACTGCCATCTGGTGGATATAATTTGGTACTGCACATATTTAAAAAAAAAACAGCCATTACCAGCTCTGTCCTCTAGAGGCAGCAGTGGCAGGACCAGAACCACAAACCAGGAACTTATGAAATCAGCAGCAGGTCCACAACTTTATTATTACAACTACACCCTTTTAATATGCACACATTTCCTTTTTATCTATTTTTGGGAGATGCATTAAACATTTCACTTTGTTACTTTGTCTTTAAATATTTGTTCTGACCTCTTTGGTGAACAGTGTGGGCGTGGATTTACACAGCATAACATAATGACCTAAGTCGATTACTCACTTTGTTTGTTTTCTTAGTCAAACTTGATTTAAGTCTCTCTAAACTGCACCTAACTAGATAAAACAAGCAGGTTCACGCTGACTGATGATGCCTCTTCTGAAGTTGGACATGAAATATTTACGAGTTTGACCTGGAAAGAGGTAGAGCGAACATTTGAGATGAGAAATAAAGGGAACTTCCAACAAAATATACATAAATTTGCATCTTTAATCAACAGAAAATTCCCTTATTTTTCAAAAAAAATTAGTCAAATTTGTCAAAAAGCCACGTTTTTTTTTTTCTACAATCTTAAAAATCTGTGGTTATAGTTTTGCTGAAAGCCTGTTGTTTTAGTGTAGCTGCCATGCAGTTTATGTTTCCAAACAGGCCTAACACGTTTCAGCTGAACCTGACCCCTTCCAGAAAAGAAAACGGAAGCAGTTTCTATTTGTTTAGTTGAACTCAAAGCAAAATCTCTGAACTATCAGAGCCCATTGAGCCTTTTAAAGCTTTTTTAAAAGCTTGACTTTGATTTAACATTCCTAAATATGTTCACTTTTGAGTTAAAAACATAAAAAAAACTTGTTAAACTGGTGTCAAAACGACCCTGTTTCAAACTGAAAGCAGCTCTTTAAGTTGGTTTTGTTCTTTTTTTTAATGGTTTGCAGCAGGAAACAAAAGGAGGAAGGAAGGGAAGGAGACAAACAAATCCTAACGAAGCTGCAGGGAGGAGAGGCGATAATTCACCCACGCCCACACCTTCTCAGAAGCAGTCAGCTTCCTGCTCCCTTCAAAATGAAGGTGATGGCTGCAGATCCCTCCCACGCTGCTCAGCGGCTGGCTTCCGCCCACCCGCCGGTGGAGCCACCGCCCACCTCCAGCCGTCGCCATGGCAACACATCATGATGATGATGAGCGGTGGCTTGAGCTGGAAGAGGAGGACGGGCGAGAGGAGGGGCCGTGCTGCCACCGTGAGCAGAGCTCGGCGTGGGCGTTCATGAGCCGAGCTCGTCTCCAGAGAAAAAACTGTCTACGTGTGTGTGAGAGAGAGAGAGGTGGAAGCAGAGGATGATGGGAGGTGTGTGTGTGCGAGAGAAGGACCTGCGTCAGAGTGACTCATGAGCCACTTTCACAATGTGTTGATGTGACGCTGATGCAAATCACGGCCCGCACAGGGATTCGTCTAAAAGTAGAGAAGAGGAAAACGGAGCGGGTGTTCCTGCTGCGTCATAAACTACTTTTGGGTCAAGAAGACGAGATGCACCTTGATGAAGGAAGAAGCTCAACTACGGAACTGAACAAAAGTCTGGAGTCACTCCTCGTCATTTCACAACAAAACAAAAGTTCCTCTGACAAGCATCTTTAACTCAAAGAAAGCCTGCAGAAAGTCTAGATCTAGACCACCTTAAACGATCAGGAGTAGGGATGCACGATATTATCAGCATGGTATCGGTATCGGCTGATATTAGCGATAAATTTAAATATTGGTCATTCTATCAAAATAACTCACGGATATAAAAGGTGCTGTTTATATATATACATATATATATATATATATATATATATACATATATATACATGGTGCTGTTTTTGTATGGCAATCCACAAGGATGCCTGCTGCGCCAGCACAACTTTATGACATCACGTGTGCCGTTGAGTTTAAATTTGTGAAAGTTTACAAATTTGCACTGTTCGAGTGTTGTCATTGTGTTCGAGACAGTAAATGTCATGAATAAATTTGACATTAAACATAATCCAAGTTGAAGTGTTGCATCATTTTTAGTCTCCTTTCTTGACATCTGCATTAGCAGGCCAAATTGACAAAACCATGCAGAATAATGTAGTATTTTAATTCCACAGCAGAGAAAGCTATGTAGTCTTTGTAAGTAGGTTTGGAAAAATAATAGTATCGGTTATCGGCCAAATAAGTTTTAACATATCGGCAAATCAGATATCGGCCAAAAATCCAATATTGTGCATCCCTAATCAGGTGAATGAAAAATCCAAAGAAAATCAAGGGTTTGGATCAAGACTTTTGCACATTATCCCTCCTACGTGGATCATAAAACAGGACGCACCACACGATAAGAGTTCAAAAAAATAAAGTTTAATGTTCATGTGCTGTATAACAAATAAAATATATTAGTGTTTTTAAAAAAAACAGGTGCATAAGTGGGTGGAGCCTAATCTATCACCTCAAAAGAAACCGTGGTGATCAGTGGGACGACATGCTCTCCGTGACCCATCGGAACCAGAACCGACCCCCGTTTTTTTTTTTTTTTTTACAACCTGAAGAAATCCTCTAATTCAAAAGTAAAAGTGAGACGAACGTTTCTGCCTAAAAATCTGCAGGCGATGACAGACGCACAGGTACAGAGCACAGATCCAGATGCAAATCGACTCGTCACATAAATATTGCATTGCTCTCTCGGAAAGAGAGACTAAACTATGAGCAGGGGAGCGAGGGGAAGGAGATATCTTTTCTTTTTTTTTTTTGGACCAAACAGATGTTATTTACACAGAAGAACACGGAGCCTTCGTGTTTCTACGTCTAAACACCGAGAACACATCTGCACATGTGGCTCAAACACCGTTAGAGCTGAGGCTAAAAAGCATCTTCTTATATAACAGACACAATCTAACATTTGTTTATCATTAAAAGTCCTTTTTTTGTGTGTTTGCTCTACATACATGAACACTGTATCGACACCAAAAATCTACAGCAAAGTTACACCGGACACAGAAACCCTGACAGATTAGGCTAGTTCTCATATTTACAGGCTAAGAAAGAAAAAAAAAAAATGCAGTTGTTGCTAAAAACTTTTTAAAGTTTTCTCTTTTTCCTCCGGACGTCCTCCCTGTGTGTAGATGCGTGGTTTCTCTTCAGCAGCGGTGATTTGCTAAATTACAAAGTGAAATGAAGCGATTAGCTCGGCCTGCAGCCGAATGACGGAGTCCGTCCGGCTGCCGCTCACATCGCTCCTATACATCCTCAGAAATAAACCAGAAGAGGAACTCGTCCCGCCTCTCCCGTGTGCCCGAAACGTTAAATTAATAACCTGCTGCAAGGGCTGAAACTTAACGCGTGGATCACAAACGTTTCTGTGGTCAATGAGAGGAAAATTTATTTTAATTTTTTTATTAAATACTGTGTCATCCTCTGCTACGACGGAGCTTTAGCGCCACGCTAAGAAAAAAAAAATTTAAAGTCATAAAATTATGAGAATAAAGTCATAGTATTACAAGAATAAAGTCGTACGAGATTTTTTTTTTTTATAGCTATCGTAAAAAAAAAATTCCACGAGTCGGATCCATGACGCAACCTGTCAATCAATCCAGTGGGCGTGTCAGCAAATGACCAATCCGAAGCTAAACGAGTCGTAATATTATCCGAACTCCGACACGGTAAAGCAGAGCTTACCGCATTTTAACTGTGGTCAAATGAAGAATGTTCGTTAAAACTTTATTGTTATTGACGCTCTTACTCAAAACGTGTTCCAACACTGCCACCTACTGTTGTGTTTTTGTATGCTGCTTCTGGGATGCGTATACGTGACGTCATTACGTCGTGACTTTCGTTTATTTTGGTTTCCGTTTGAAAACGGCGCTCAGTGAGAGAAACTGTGTGCGTGCAGCGCTGTTAGCGGTCTTCAGTAAATACGCCAGAAAGAGGCTGAAGAGGACCAGCGGCTCACTCGCATTTAGCTTTTAGCTTTTGCTGACACGCCTACCGGATTGATTGACAGGTCGCGTCGCGGATCCAACTCGTGGAAAAAAAATAAATAAATAAAAGAGAGCTGTAAAAAAAAAAAAAAGAAATTCTCATACGACTTTATTCTCGTAATTCTACTACTTTATTCTCGTAATTCTACTACTTTATTCTCGTAATTCTACTACTTTATTCTCGTAATTTTATGGCTTTTAATTTTTTTTTCTTAGCGTGGCCCTAAAGCGCCGTCGTACTCTGCAGACTAACTGACAAAGCTTCTTCTAAAAGAGCATTAAAAACCCATTATGGTAGCTTCATAAATTAGGTGAGATTAATTTAGTGGCCCTGACCTTTAACCTTTGTACTAAATTACCTCAAGAAGTTCAGAGATTATAGACAGATAATGTCCTCATCAACCACTGAAGGAAATGTGTTTTTTTAAGCAAAGTGTTGGATTCTCTCACATTTTGACCACATGGTGATTAAAATACGTGCTATTTAATCTGTGGATGGCGTTGGACTGTTTTGTACTCATTAATCCAGGAGTTGTAAAATTATTGTAGCTACAGTCTTACTGGACAGGGTCACGATGTGTACCAGTAACTTAGAACATGTAAAAATACTGTTTAATAAAAGACAAAATCATCTTGTTACTATTTTGTGATAAGTTAAAAGCAATAAACTGAAAAATTCAAATGCATTTGGATTAAAAAAAAAAAGAAGAACCTTTTTAGGTTTCATGGATCAGGATGGATTTTTTTTTATGAAGTTTTGCGGGATCTTGCATCTATTTGAGTAGGTTTGAGTTTTATTAGTCGAAGACGACAAGGAGGGAAGCGTGTTAGGAGACAGAGGGAGGAGGAAAGTCAAGAATGTAGGACTGAGGGTAACAACTCTAAATGTGGGGACAATGACAGGCAAAGATAGACAGCTAGCTGACATGATGCAGAGAAGGAAGGTGGATGTGTCCAAGAGACCAAGAGGACAATGAGACCATAAGGACAGCAGGACAGTTGTGAGATGTGCTGTAGGAGTGACAGATAACTTCAAGGGGGAGGTGGGAGTGCATCAAGGACCAGCTCTGAGCCCCTTCGTGTTTGCTCTGATGATGGACCAACTAACAAATGAGGTCAGGCAGGAATCCCCGTGGACTATAATGTTTGCAAATGACACTGTGATCTGTGGGGAGAACAGGGAACAGGTGGAGAGAACTTGGAGAGGCGGATGTATGCACTTGAAAGAAGAAGAATGAAAGTCAGCCGTAGTAAGACAGAGTACATGTGTGTGAATGAGAGGGAGGCAGGTGGAACAGTGAGACTACAAGGAGCAGAGGTCACAAAGGTGCAGGACTTCAAGTACTTGGGGTCCACTGTCCAGGAAAATGGGGAGTGTGGTAAAGAGGTGAAGAAGAGAGTCCAGGCAGGATGGAGTGGATGGAAAAAAAGTTTCAGGTGTGATGAGTGTCAGCAAAGGTCAAAAGAAAAGTTTACAAGACAGTGGTGAGACCAGTTATGTTGTATGGTCTGGAGACAGAGACATGGACAAAAAGACAGGAGAAAGAACTGGAAGTGGCAGAAATAAAGATGTTGAGGTTCTCCTTAGGAGTGACAAGGATGGATAAGATTAGGAATGAGATCATCAGAGGTACAGCACAGGTTGAACAACTGGGAGATAAAGTTAGAGAGACCAGACTGAGATGGTTTGGACATGTCCAGAGGAGGGACATTGGGTATACTGGTAGAAAGATGTTAAAAATGCAGCTGCCAGGAAAAAGACAAAGAGGAGATACATGGATGCAGTTAGAGAGGACATGGAGGTAGTTGGAGTGAGGACAGAGGATGTAGAGGACAGAGTGAGATGGAGGAGGATGACTCGCTGTGGTGACCCCTGAAGAGGGAAAAGGTGAAAGAAAAAGAACAAGAAGAAGGTTTGAGTTTTGTTATTTGAATAAACCACCTTAAGGAATTTAGGATGTTAAAAGACCAGATCAGATATAAATTTAGGAAAATACTCTGGTGATGAAAAAACACATTCCCTTGTTGATGGAAACTTTGAAACATTTTAGGAAAAAGAGCAAATAAAGATAAGAAACATTTTACTGTAAATAATAAACCTCATAATATTACTAAGTGATAAAGCAAACAATCATCTTTTGTCTGAATGAAGTGTTTAAGACCATATACAAAAATCCTATATAATTTCCCTGACTGGAAATGTTTGCGACTTTTGGAGAAAGACCCAAAGCATTGGGTAAAAGTTTGAACAATCAGATTTTGCTGATCATTCTAGTAGTAGAATATTGAAAATAAAAATAAAAAACAGTAATATTTAGAGTCGTTGGGGAACCTTTTTCACTGTACGTTGGATTAAGAATCACCTACTTGTTAAATAAGCACCAACGCTCCAAGTTTCCATGCGTGAAAACAAACTGGAGTTAAGAATCAGCCCCGGCAGCGGCACCTGATACCTGGTTGTCTACAAAAAGCAACAAAAGCAGCTTCCAGGCCGAGGTAAAGAGTTTACAGATGATCAAACCTTAAATTACACAAACATTTAACCAACACACAAAGACCTGTGGAGCACTGAGCGGCGTCTGGATGTGCTCTTGAGGTGCTTTGGCAAATACTTTTAGAAAGAAAAAAAAAAAGGCTAAAGGAAATAAAAAATAAATGCTATTCAAATGAGGCAACGTTGGTTGTTAAGGCTCTACTGTGGCTGTGCTTGCTTAGTATCTACTGACGGGTAATAACTGCATACGGTCAAGTGTGAGTAGGATGAAGAGGGTGGGGGGGGGGAGGCACTATGTAGAGTCTTCAGGCTCTGATTTGATGATCTTCTTCTCTGTGTTGTTGCACGTCCGCTGAGATGTTCCGTTTTCTGAGGACGGCGATAAAGGACAGTATCGTCAGCGTATCGGTTGATATTAATGTTGGTTTGTGTGCTCCAGCTGAACACCTAAGACGACTCACCTGCTGCTGGTGTTTTGGTCTCGTCTGAGCTGTTGTTGTTGTTGTTGGTGTTGTTGTTGTTGATGTTGTTGATGTGGTTGTGGTTATGATGGCGCTTCAGCTCATTGGCTAGCTGCTTGCCCAACGGGAGGTCGCCTTCCTGCATGCTCTGACTGACCACTCGCAAATTGATTGGTCGATCTTCTGAAAGCAAAATTATAAAAATAAAGAAAATATACTTTTATGTGTTTTGGCACAAATGTAATTGAGATGCCTGCTTTTTTTTTTTAAATCACAGTTTTCTCTTTCAGTGCATTTTTTGTTGTTTCTGTTTGTAGGTTTTATTTATTTATATATTTTTGTCACCAAACAACTTTGGCATACATTGTTCTATTTTAAAACTTTATCAGAATAGTGTGCTATGACATCAAAGTTCATGCTCAATAATCCACGTAGAAAATCCAACAAAGCTATGTCAGGTCATCTGGATGGTTTCTTTTTTTGTTGAGATGTTTCGTCCTCCATCCAAAGGACTGCATCTGTCCGAGGAGCCACAAACAAACTGAGTCCCACAAGCAGCAAACCCACATAGTGGACCAACCGGTTTTCTGGTGGTAAGATGGTTTCTGGGGCCCGCCCTCTCCACAGTCCTTTGGATGAAGGATGAAACATCTCAACAACAAAAAGGAAACCGTCCATATGACCTGATTGAACTTTGTTGGATTTTCTACGTGGATTATTGAGCATGGGGCAGCACGGTGGCACAGTTGGTAGAGCTGCCACCTCTCAGTGAAAAGGTTGCCAGCTCATATCCCGGCCTGAGACCTTTCTGGGTGGAGTTTGCGTGTTCTCTCCATGCATGCATGCATACTCCGGTTTCTTCCCACAGACCAAAAACATGCATGTTAGTATGATTAGTAACTCTAAATTGTCCCTAGGTGTGAGTGAGAGAGTGAATGGTTGTTTGTTTCTGGGGCCTGATGGCATGACCTGACTGAACTTTGTTGGATTTTTTTTACCTGGATTATTGCGCATGAACTTTGGTGTTTTGAACCACTTTGGCTATGGCTGCCTCAGAGGAGTCAACGGGGGAGAGGGCAGGCCCCAGAAACCATCTTATCACCAGCAAACTGGTTGGTCCACTATGGGAGGGTGCTGCTTGTGAGACTGAGTTTGTTGTGGCTCCTTAGACTGATGAAGTCCTTTGGATGAAGGACGAAACGCGTCAAAAAAACAAAATAAAACCAAATGTCCTGATGACCTGACTGAACTTTGTTGGGTTTTAACTACTATCTTAATAATTTTAGCTTTTATTTCATATTTACCGGTAGTTAGTTTGAGCTTGTAGTCACAAATTTGGTGAGTTTAGCTCTTAGCTACAGTTTTGCTTATTTCAGCAGCTGTTCTGCTTGTTAAAATAAATTTTCATCATATTTAAGCAGTTATTCATCTCTCAGCGTTGACACTGTTTTGGAAAAAAAAAAAAAAGAAGCTGTTTCTCCTATTGAATATTTTATGTTGTATTATGTTTTTTCTTTCCACGGAATGAAAACTTTTCGGTCCATCCGTCCACCTACCTTCCTACTTAACTATCTGAAGATAGAAAGCTGTAGAAAAAGAATTTGAAAAGACAGAAATGACAAAAAAAAGTAAAGTGAAGGAAAAAGAGGAAGAAAATCAGAGCAGAAGAGGGGGAGGAGAGAGAGAGGTAAACACAGAATAAAAGAAGAGAGAGAGAGAGACGCCCCCCTCCAGGCTTCTGGCTGGAGGTAAACAGGCGTGGGCGTGATAATTACAGGTGCATTGTGGGATTTGTGGGAACAGCGTTATAATGAGCTGTCGGGAGTGGGTGAGGAAGAAAAAGGATGAAAATGAGATGAGGCCTGGAGGAGAAGAAAGATCCTGAATAATGATGTGTCTTTCTCCCTCTTGTCCCCCCCCCCCCCCCCCCACTCCTCTCACTGTGTTTGAGAAGAAGAAAAAGATGAAAAAACGGGTGACAGTTTCCACGACTCTGTACAAACGCTACACCTATAGGCGTCGTTTCTATCCACTCAACTGCATCCTGTGGCATTCCTGACATGAAAAAAGTCTTGAGAATTAGACTTCAGAGCTCGTCAAGTCACGTCGAAAAGGCTCTGATTCTGGCACTTTGTTTTCCTTTCATCTCTAAAACCAGCCAATGGGTGTGCAGCTGCTTGCTTTCTACTAAATGGACGCAGGGGGCAGCAGTGAGCCAAAGCATACTGGCAAAAAAAATGTTAAAAAACGCTCTTATGCGCACAAAAGGGCGAGATGAATGCTTTCATGGAAAGTGTTTTGGCAAACATGGTTGTTTCTGATTCTGATTGTCAGGAAGTGTTTTAGAAACAAACAACAATCAAAAGTACTTTTATAAATCGTGCAATCTTTACAAGCAGTCGCCAACGAGAGGCGAATCAGAGATCAAGTTCAGCCCTGTCTTCATATCGTAGCTAATTTATTCTCGTTTCTGGTGGTAAGGACTATTTCCTGAAATACACAGTGTTGCTGAATGGTATTTGAGAGTAGTTGTTGTTTATTCATAGCGCTGGGCACCAGTGAACCCCGCAACCCAAAAAGGAAGAAGCGGGTAAAGATGATGGATGGAAATGAATGTTTTTGCTTTAATTAGGAGAAATTCAGTAACTTTCATTTGAAATATGTGTCATTTTTAAATGCGTTTTTTTTTTTGTCATTACTGTAGCCTCTCGCTAGTTGGCGGTTCGACTTTCACGGACTCGCTCTTTCGCGGTTTTTCAACGGTCGTCAACTTTAATATTACTCATGTGATTGGGACGGTACGGGATAAAAAGTTAACAAAAAAAGTAATACTTCGGACAGGCGCCGCCATTTTGTAGTTTTCTTTCAATAAGCCTTTACTGTGACATCACTCAAAAGAACTACATTACCCAGAAGTCAACAGTGCTTCCAGCCGCTGCTTTCTGCCGAAATGGAGGGAATGTTTTGCAACGTAAATCTACGCCGTCTATTAAGCTCACAGAACTGGCAGGAAAGTCGCAAATAATCCTGGTTTCCTGAAGCTCAATTATCCACGTGCACATCAACCTGTACGGGGTGATGGGCTTCATCTGCCGAACTGGAACCGAGCTGCTACATTTAACGTACATTGTTAAAGTGACATAGATTTAAGAGTTTAGAACATTGTTAAGAACACCAAAGTTCATGCTCAATAATAATAATCCAGGTACAAATCCAACAAAGTTCATTCAGGTCATCTGGATGGTTTCTTTTTTTTTTTTTTTTTTTTTGTGGAGACTTTTCATCGTTCATTCAAAGGACTTCTTCAGTCCGAGGAGCCACAAACAAACAAACTCGAGTCCCACAAGTAGCACACTCCCATAGTGAGAAAAAAAAAAGCAGTTTGCTGGTGATAAGATGGTTTCTGGGGCTCGCCATTTCCCATCAACTCCTTTGAGACAGTCATGCCAAAATGGTTCAAAACACCAAAGTTCATGCTCAATAATCCAGGTACAAATCCATCAAAGTTCAGTCAGGTCATCTGGATGGTTTCTTTTTTTTTTTTTTTTTCTTTTGCTGAGACGTTTCGTCATTCATCCAAAGGACTTATTCAGTCTGAGAAGCCACAAACAAACATTGTTGGATTTGTAACTGGTTTATTGAGCATGAACTTTGGTGTTTTGAACCATTTTGGCATGACTGCCTCAGAAGAGTTGACGGGGGAGAGGGCAGGCCCCCGAAACCATCTTATCACCAGCAAACTGTTTTCCCCCCCCTACTATGGGAGTGTGGTACTTGTGGGACTCCAGTTTGTTTGTGGCTTCTCGGACTGAAGAAGTCCTTTGGATGAAGGATGAAACGTCTCAGCAAAAAAAAAAAAAAAAGAAACCGTCCAGATGACCTAACTGAACTTTATTGTTAAGAACATTGCAAGAGTGTGAGAAGGGTTCATAAAGCCTTAATATATAAATACTAGAATAAATATAGCGTTCCTACTTCACGGTTTTTCACCAATCGCGATGGTGTTTACTCTTTACTGTTAATGACCATTGGTTTTTGTTGTTGTTTTTTTTTAGATATATTTAAACAGGAATCTCATTGACCTGCATCATTCAGAGTTTAAATATTACCAACGGGGTATGGAGAGAGAAGAAAAAAAAAAAACGTTTTGTTCTCTTTCTTTGTTCTAGCATGTAAAAAACAATAATAACTATCAACAATTTATTCTATATATTTATTCTAATAACATAACTAAAAGTTGAGGAGCTGTCATCTTTATTTTAAGGTTGATAATTGTTGTGGAGATCTGGATACATTTTATTTGGGGAGGGACGGTGCAGAAATGTCTTTTTTTTCATTGTGAAGGTTGCTCTAAAGTTTTTAGTTTTTATGAATTAAACTCAAAGATCTCTGAAAGTTTACATAACTATTAACTTGTATTTTTCCCCACTTTAACCATTTAAACATTAAAATAGAGCAGGGATATTCAAGTGGCGGCCCAGGGGCCAAATCAAACCCATTGGTGAGCTCAGTTCGGCCCAACAATGGGTTAATTTTTAAATAAAACTGGATTTTAAACCGTAAAACAAACTTAATGACGATAACTGCTGGATTGTCCAGCCCCTGAGCTCTTGGCTTTCAGTACCTGTGGTCCCCTGAGAAGTTTAGGTTGCATAACTCTGAAATAGACTCTCATCCCACCTTGGCTGTCTCTGCTGGCGTCAGCGGGGGCTCCGTTGGTGTTTGGAGCGTCGCTGAGGTACTTTAAGGCGGCGGGGGGGATCCTCCAGTCCAGAGCCTGGAGGCGCTCCTGGACGGCGGCGTCCTGCAGGATCTCCATCTGCCTCGCCAGCAGACGCTCCAGCTGCATCTGATCAACACACAAAGCGGAGGATTTTAATCCAGCGCTAAAAGTTCCACATTTATCTTTTAAATTTATTTTTAATAAATACGAACTGTTTAAATGAGTTTGTGGCAAAAAAAAAAAAAAAAAAAAGTAATCTCTATGAACTAGTCCTTTAAAAACAGACATCAAACCTGACCTGGAACAAATCAGAACCAGAATCAACTTTATTGTCATTGCACAGTTAATTACAGCGAAATTACGTTCCGTACAGCCGTCCGAAGTGTAGACGGAAGTGTACCGCAAAAGCAGAAGAAAACATGAGGAGAGAAAGTATTTTTTTTTAAAAAGATCTCTCACACCATGTCAGACAGCAGAAGCATCTACAGTACCTTGGCACAAAGGCAACTTAGACAGCCATAATCAATTCTGCAGGGAGAGGGGAGGACAACAAGATAGTGAGCTTGTCCATGAACACTTCCAGATAGATTCCATAGTCCTGATAAAGGTGTTACAGTGTCTATCAGCCGGTACAACTCTGATAGGTTCCACAGATGTTCTCGGGGGTGGGTGGGTAGCAGGAGCAGAGCTTCTTGATTAACATACCCACCAGGAGCAATTTGAGATACGTTGGCCTGTCCAAGGCAAAGCGGGGAGGCCAGATTCAGATAAACAACAATCGTTCTGGGCAGGCAGACTCTACTGATTTCATGTCTGCCTTCAGTTCTGCTGGTACACTCAATGGTGAATCCAAACAGCCAGATGTGTGGACATTCCACCGGTCCGTGCTTGTTAGCCTTCTCTGAGGTCAGTTCCTTCATGCCAGCGAGTCCTAGGACTTGCAAGTGGCCCACGATGCTCAGAGATCGCATCCAGCTTATGGTTCAGTTCACAAAGCATATTAGTCTGAGAGTTCGAAGCACGGTACAATCCTTCACATAAGGCTGGCAGCTTTACTATTGTCAAAACTGCTGCCGACGTCTTCCCAGTTAGTCGATATTCCAGGTATCCGCCGATTCCAAAAAGCAGAAACCCTATCATAAATCCAATTATGTACGTGTCTTCTACGTCCTCAATGGATGACACATTTTCCATTCACCCCAGGAATCCATGACAAATCCAGCTGCGTGTGTCCCTTCAGGGCACGAGGGTTCTCCTGCATCCTGTCGCCTCGTCGAGAAAATTTTATCAGTTGCTTTGAGAGACCAGCTGACCAGATCCATATTAATTTACGATTCGGAAGATGTGTAAAGAGAGGCAAAAGCAGGAGGAAGACAGGAGAGGGAAGAAGAGAGACCGTCTTCGTCGAGAGGAAGTCAGAAAAAAAAAGGGACAAAGAGAGCACACGAGCAGCTAAACATAGTTTTTAACAAAGAATCAAGAGTTGGGCGGAGCCTGTTCATGAAACTGACCAATTAGAGCAGGAAAGACTTAACTTTTTATATTTTACTGAATATAAACTGAACTTTGCTACCACTTTAATAGAAACTTTTAGGTTCAGTGTGTTTGAAATCCTCGTTTAAGACAACAGAAATGTTAAAAAAAAAAATAATAATAATAAACTGTGTTTAAATGCTTTCTTTTATAGAAAAATGGTAGAAATGCTCTTTAAACTAAGTTTTAGAATGAATTTAGCAAAGAGTTTTACTTAAAATGTTATAATCTTACAGGTATGAATTAAAAAAAAAATGGCTGAAATATGTTTTCAAAGGTCAATGACAGAAACTTAAAAAAAATAAAATAAATAAATTTACTGAAAGTTAGCTGTTTTTCTCTTATTTGGCAACGTGAATAAATTAAACATGCGATCAGTCTGAACTTTTTATCCACCGGGGCAACAGAAAAACTACAAATAAGATTTTTTTTAAAAAGCACAACAAACAAAAACACCGTGCGGCTAATCGAGCCGAGGTCGAGCTGAACTCTTGACTCCGGTGTTTTCTTTAACCTGCAGCTAAAACATGCGAGGACTCAACACGGAGCTGGGATTGTCAGTCACTGTCACTTTAAATCACTGCAGGACACGTTCCACATCCTCGCACGGCGATCCGACGGCCTGCGGCGCCAGCGCAGCCATGAAATCTCTTCTCCTCCTGAATGCGATTTATGAAAAATCACATCAGCGTGACAAGTGGAACTGCAAACACACAAACACTGATGGAGCGGAACACACACACACATGGAACACACATGTTCTGTGGGTAATGGCTCATCACAAAGCTCTCCTCCTACACTCTGGTTCTAATTAGGAGCAAACAGGAGAAGCAGCACGGAGATCAGACTGGACCCTGCTGCTGAACCACCCGTCTGTTAGCAAAATATCTCAACCACGAGATGGGTTTTAATGAACCTCTCAGAAAGTAATCACTGGATGTACATCTGCAACTGATGAGGTATTCAACCCAAATCAAAAAGGCTAACACGGCTATTTGACCTGAGCAAACACTAAAAGGGATAAAACTCAGATAATGAACTAAAACCTAACAGACGGAACGATATGAGGCTTTCACACTATTGTGATCCTGTTTATATTTAATATTTTTCCGACTATCTCGTTCTGCAGTTTTTAAGCTATATCAGCAAATCATAAATCAAAACGTTCAGCTCGTTCAGGAAAAAGGTGCCACGACTTTTGGTATTGGTGCAACTTTAGCTTTTTGAAATATTTAGCCTATTCTGCCACTCCCCCCCCCCCTCCCTCAAAGAAAATGAATTGAGCTCATTTGATCTGTTTACCTTTTATTGCTCCTTTCACTTTTTTTTTTCTGCTTCAGCTTCTTTTGGCTTCCTTGTGCAAATTTAAACTTTTTTCCAGCTACTTTCAGCTGACTTCGGCTGTTTTTTCAGCTGTTTTGAAATCCTTTCAGGTTCTTTCTGCTATCTAGAAGATTTTTGTGCATCTTTCTTTTTTGCTTTAAGCTTGTTATGCTCCTTTCAGCTTATGCAAGTTTCAGCTATTTCTGCTATTTCAGCTACTATTTAGCTGTTTTATGCTAATTTTAGCCATTCATCCATTATCTTTTACCTGCTTCTACCATTTTGGGTCACGGGGGTCGCTGGTGCCCATGTCCAGCCATCACTGTGCGAGGGGCGGGGTACACCCTGGACAGGTCTCCAGTCCATCACAGGGACACATAGAGACAAACGAGACAAACAACCAGTCTCTCACTCACAGCTAGGGATATTTTAGATTTACAATCAGCCTAACATGCATGTTTTTGGTCTGTGGGAGGAAACCGGAGTACCCGGAGAAAACTCACGCATGTACGGAGAGAACATGCAAACTCCACCCAGACAGGCCCACGGACAGGGTTTTGAACCAGCAACCTTCTCGCTGCGAGGCAGCAGCTCTACCAATTGCACCATCGTGCTGCCCGCTAATTTGAGCCTTTTCAGCTAATTCCACATCGTTTGCACTCATTTAAACCTTTTTCAGCCCAATTCAGCAAAATGTGCTCTCTCCACTTCCTTCTGGTAATTTAAGCTTCTTTCTGCTTTTTAGCTACTTTTCAGCTGGTTTATATTAATTTAAGCTTTTTTCAGATAATTTCCACTTTTTTTGTGCTTATTTCTACTTCTTTCAGCCAAATTAAGCAAATATGTTATTTGTGCTTTCTTCTTCTAATTTCAGCTTGCTTACCTTTTCAGCTCTTTTCAGCATTTCTAGCTAATTTCAGCTGTTTTCAGATAAATACAAGTTTTTCATGGTAATGTCTGCTACGTTGAGCCTAATTAACTTATTGATGTTAATTTCAGCTTGTTATGCTCCTTTCTTTGAATCAGCTGTAAGAGACTGAGGAACTACTTGCGGAGTAATCCACATTTAGTGCTACGGGGAGTCTCCAGGCTAAAAAGGGTTGTCTAACTAAAACAATCATGAAACAATATTTAAAACAATGCACAGATGTTGACTTTTACTGTCTGGACTGTTTGTGCTGAATGTTGGGTCAGTTCTACCTGCAGGCTGCGTCCGACGGTTTCCTCTCCTTTGGACTTGGCGCAGGCCAGCTGCTCCCTCAGCATCTCCTGCCTCATGTGGATGGCCTGCAAGGCCTCCTGGATGTCGAAGAAGTTCTCCTAAAGAAAACCAAAACCAGAACATTCACACCTTCTAGTTCTTTCAACGCGTTTTCTTTCCCAGAAGACCTGGAGATGCAGCACAGCAGAGTGCACGTCAAACACAAAATTAAAATGGTTTCAGGTTTGAGGGCTCTTAAGTACAGAAAAGGTGGTTAAACGGAAATTTTTAATAATGTTTTTTTTAATGGTTAAATAGTCTCAAATTACAAAAGAAAACAAAACAACTAAAGATAATTTAAAAAAAAATTGAACTGTAAAAAAAACCCGAGCTTTTGTTGTTTTATAGCGTTTTTGGACTGCACTTTTGCTTTTGGTCCAATTAAAAGTACAAAAAAATAAAATAAAATACATGTAAATAGAATATTTAGAATTTTTAGCATGTTCTTTTTTTTAAATATTCTTACATATTTTATGAATTATTTTATAAAATAAACTTTAAGCACAAATGGACGTATTGCAATGTTTACTGTGTGAATGTTTATGAAGCATTCACACTATTGTGATTCATTTTCCTTCTCCTTTGTGCGCCTTCAACAAATCCTCTATCAAAACGTTCAGCTCGTTTAGGACAACCCTGCTGTGACTTTTAGCTTTTTGAAACATTTAGCCTTTTCTGACATTTTTTCTCTCATAGAAAATAAATTGAGCTCATTATACATCCTTCAAATCTTTAGATCTGTTTACAACCTTTTACTGCTCCTTTCACATTTTGTTTTACTTCAGCTTCTTTCTGCTTCCTTGTGCAGTTTTTAAAAATCGGCTATTTTCGGCTCTTTTTAGCTGTTTTTCAGTCGTTTTGTGCTCATTTCAGATTCTTTCCGCTAACTACAACATTTTTGTGCTTCTAACTTCTTTCTGCTAATTTCAGCTTGTTATGCTCCTTTCAGCTTATTTATGCAAGTTTCAGCTTTGTCTGCTATTTCAGCTATTATATAACTGTTTTATGCTTATTTAATCTTTTTTAGCTAATACCACATTTTTTGCACTCATTTCAACTTGTTTCAGCCTAATTCAGCAAAAATGTGCTCTATCCACATCCTTCCTGTAATTTCAGTTTCTTTCTGCCTTTTTAGCTACTTTTCAGCTGTTTTTGATCATTTCAGCTTTTTCAGATAATTTCTACTTTTTTGTGCTCATTTCTGTTGCTTTCAGCCTAAATGGGCAAATGTGTATTCTTTCTGCTTTCTTATGCTAATTTAAGTTTGTTCTGCATTTCAGCTACATTTCAGCATTTTCTTTTAGCTAATTTCAGCTGTTTTCAGATAAATTACATTTTTTGTGGTAATTACTGCTATATTCAGCCTAATTTTTCAGCTAATTTCAGCTTTTTCTGCAATTTCAGCCACTATTTAGCCCTTTTATGTAAATTTTAGCTTTTTCAGCTAATGCCACATTTTTGAGCTCTTTCTATTTTCTTCTTGTAGGTTAAGCTTCTTTCTACCTTTTTGGCTACTTTTTAGATTATTTTTTGTGTGTGCAAATTTTCATTTTTTTTGGATGATTTCCTAATTTTTGTGCTAATATCTTCGGCTTTCTTCTCCTAATTTAGGCTTCATTTCAGCTACATTTCAGCTGTTTTTTTAGCTAATTTCAGCTGTTTTTTAGCAAGTTCGTCTGCAAAAAGCATCCACACTGCATTTACGCAGGAAATACAATTTCTCTAGTTTTTACATCTATAACTAAGATTCAAGAGAACTTGTCTCTCAAAATTTGTTTTTTAACTATATTTGTTTTTTAAATAAAAATGAAATAATACAAAAAAAAATCTCGAAATCTTTAAATTATTAGTTGTTTTTTTAATTTATTCTATGTAAATATCACCACGATCTCCTCTGGTGCGTTCACTAACAGATGGATTTTTATTTATTTATGTTTTTCTGCCCGACAGTGACATTTTAAAGCAGGTGTTGGTTCCTCCATTCCCCGCGGAGCTCTCGGGCGCCACATGTTCTCCATCATCTGGTCGTGTTCTAGAGGAACCACAGATTAAAGAACGGGAGCGTCGGGAGAGAAGCACTGAGAGATTTCATTGTGTTCGGTTCAAGGCTGCTGTTGCTTTGAGCTTTTAGTCTCTCGGAGGAGTTTCATCTGCCAAACTCGTGTGTTTTTAAAAATTAAACACTTGGAGATTCAACGGCACGACGAGCAAACAGGAGGGAAAGGTTCTCAAATAAACGGGAGATCTTTTATGAAGGTGAACGAAGACGTTTAACAACCGGTGTTGAAAATTTATTCAAATAGGAACGTTAAACTAAATCCATCTGCATCAGTAAATGCTGATTAGATCAGACAATCATATAAAAAGTGTTAGTTTTATGTTCAAACTGCTCCAGTTTACAGTTTTTAGTGAATTTTACTGATAAATATATATATTAAAACATGAGTTTAGACATTCAAAGATTATTCTCAACATGAGACATTAAATTCAATAAAAATAAAATGAAATAAAATAAATTGTTTTTTCTGTTGGTTGAACTGACCTCAGTTTTAATCCTTTTAGGCGAGGGTTCGTCTCTGTCGCCACATCGAGACCTGCAGACAAACACAATAAAAATTTGATCCTTGCTTTACTTTCTGCAAAAATGTAGGAAGTTGTGTTTGTTTATTTTTTATTTTACGCATGTATGATTTAGGATTTTGTTGCTGAAGAACACAAGAACCAACAATATTCTAATAGTGTGAATGTTTATGAAGCGTTCACACTATTGGGATCTATTTTTCTTCCGTATATTTTTCAGCTTCTTTCTCGTTCCACAATTATTTTTTTTGATATTTCATCAAATCATAAATCAAAATGTTCAGCTCTTTCAGAAAAATCCTGCTATGACTTTTGGTATTGGTGCTATTTCAGCTTTTTGAAATGTTTAGCCTTTTCTGGCACTTTTTTCCTCATAGAAAATGAATTGAGCTCATTTTCAATCTTAGATCTGTTTACAAACTTTTACTGCTTCTTTCACATTTTGTTCTGATTCAGCTTCTTTCAGCTTCCTTGTGCAAATGTAAAAAAATGTTTTAGCTACTTTCAGCAGTTTTTTCATCTGTTTTGTCCTTTCGGATTATTTCTGCTAACTAAAACATTTTTGTGTTTTGTCTAACTTTTTTCTGCTTGTTATGCTCCTTTTAGCTTATTTATGCAAGTATCAGCTTTTTCTGCTATTTCAGCTACTATTTAGCTGTTTATGCTAATTTTAGCTTTTCTCTGCTAATTCCACATTTGCTGCGCTCATTTAAACTTTTTTCAGCCTAATTCAGTAAAAATGTGCTCTCTCCACTTCATTATTTTAATTTAAGCTTCTTTCTGCTTTTTTTTAGCTATTTTTCAGCTGATTTTTTTTGTGCTAATTTCAGCTTTTCCAAGATCATTTTCAAATTTTTGTGCTCATTTCTGCTTCTTTCAGGAAACATGTTTTTTCATGCTTTCTTGTGGTAATTTAAGCTTGTTCTAATTTTCAGTTATTTTTTTAGCATGCTAAGCTAATGTCAGCTGTTTTCAGATAAACTCAAGTTTTTGTGATAACTTCGGCTACTTTCAGCCCAATTAACATATTTTCACTAATTTCAGCTTGGTATGCTCCTTTCAGCTTTTTTCTGCTATTTTCAGCTTTTTCTGCAATTTCAGCTACTATTTAGCTGTTTTGCGCTAAATTTAGATTTTTTTTCAGCCAATTCAACTTTTTTTTTTTAGTTCATTTCAGTTCCTTCCACTTTCTTCTGGTTGTTTAAGCTTCTTTTTGCCTTTTCAGCTGCTTTTCAGCTATTTTTAGCTAATTTAATCTTTTTAGCCAAATTCCTAATATTTGTGCTCATTCTGCTTATTTAAACCAAATTCAGCAAATATGTGTTCTTTCTGCTTTCTTCTGCTAACTTAGGCTTGTTCTTCCATTTCGTCTACATTTCAGCATGTTTTTAGCTAATTTCAGCTGTTTTTCCAGCAAGTTCTTCAGCAATAAGCATTCACACTGCATTTTCACAGGAAATACAATTTCTCCAGTTTGAGTTTGTTGGAACTTTGGAGTAGAGGTAGGTGTTAATTTATGCATGTGATGTGCAGATAGTCACAGTTCAGATTTTGGACACTTCAGGTGTAAATTATATTTGTTAAATGTGGAGAGAAATGGGGTGCGGTCAGTGCAGACTGGCTCTTACTTGCTGGTCCGGTAGGTGTACTTGTAGGTGACTTCTCTGGATATCTGCCGGGCCAGTCCGAACAGCTCGTCCCGGCGCGTCAATAGAGCCATGTCTCTCATACAGAGCTGGGCCGCGGCCTCGTTCACCGTCAACTGCACATCAAACACAGAGCAGTCAGATTACACAGAACAAACACACCCCGGAGGTTCTGCAGGACCGGTGTGTTTCACACAGAACCACCTCATGCAGTGTCAGGTGTTTGCCGTCCCTCCTCTTGGAGTCAAAACGCCCGTAGATGGCGCTGTACTTCCGGATCTCCTCCTCCTTCCGCGGGTCTTCGTCGCTCAGCTCGAAGATGTGTCCGATCATCTTCGCCAGCTTCTTGTTGGTCTTCAGCTGCTCTTTGACCTCAGATAGGTCCGACTTAGGAAGTCCGGGCGCCATCCTGTCCACGCACTCCAGGACTGACTGGACTGCCGCAGCGTCCAGAGACTCTAAAGCGTCTCTGGGTGAGGACGGCGAGCCCAGGTCTGATGGAGACAAGCTGTGCTCGCTGTCATTGCTATGGCCCGACCAGAACCGAACCTCGCTGCTCCCCTGCAGGGGTGACCCGGTTGACACTTTGTCTCTTGCCACATCCAGCTTCCCGGGGTCGGAGCAGGCAGCGGCCACGACTTTGGGCACCTTGACGCTGGCGGTGTTGGAGCGTTCCTGGGCACTGAGCAGCGTTGGCGAGCCCTCAGGAAGCTTGTAGACGGGGATGCTGCAGACAGGCAGTGAGGTGAGCGGCTGGTTGAAGACAGCCGGGTTGGTTACCCAGTTCCGCAGAGCCTTCTGCAGGCGCCGCACGTGCAGCGGCTTGCTGGCCATGCCCACGAGGGCCATGATCTCCAGGAACTCCTCTTCCCCTGCCTCGCAGAGCTGCTGCACATCATCACCACCCTGCTGGATGAAGGCCTCATAGTAATAGAGCAGGTTGGCCCGCTGCAGGATCCTGTAGAGCTGCAGCTCACCCAGGGTCCTGGGCAACACCGCCGCCATGCCTAAGACACCAAGAGACAGAAAAATACGATCAGTATTACGGACAATAAGGCTGGAGTTCAATAATCAATCAGACAAGAAGTAAATGGTCAGAGATTAAAGGCTACAATTCTAACGCTGCATCTCACTGAGCTGAAACTGTTGGAGACTTCTGCAAACACCATTCTCAAGTGAGTCTCCAGAATGTCTCTAAATGGTCTTAATTTCCTCATGTTTGCCGCAACGCCTTGCTCTTATGTCATTTTATTTGATGCCTCTCTTAAAAAACATGCAACAAATTTTCTTTCAAAGTAGTCGCAAAGTCATGGGGGTCTAGAACCAGTTTTAACTTAGTTTCCATAAAATCTAGAGGGGAATTTTACCCACAGAGCAGTAGATTTCTCTGACAGGAAACATTTGAGGCTACGCTCATGAATGTCCAGTTGTAAAAAAACACACTTAGGGTAAATGGGATTATTAAAAACTGTTCCAAATCTGTTCATCTTCATTTCTTCAGTGTACTTCAGTTGAACAAATCATAAAGTGAGGGTGGCAGAGTGATTACATGCCAAAGTGGGTACGATGTGGTCAACAAATTATTTTGCATAGAATACAGTTTTGCAAGCTGTGCACACAACACTAGACCAAATTATTTTAAAAAAAATTGGTCGCTCAAAATGTGGCTTCATGGATATCTGATTAAAACCACTGAGAATTGTGCTTCCATTAAAAGTTCTTAAACAGCATGGAATAAATGTTCATTGTTATGCTGATGATACTCAGTTATATTTGTTCATGAAAATCAATGAATCCAATCAGTTACCATACTTTCCGCCGTACACGTTGCACTGAGCCATAAGTTGCATCAGTCCAAATATGTCTAATAAAGTGGAAAAAAACAACAACAACAATTCGCTTCGCTGTATAAGTCGCATTTATTATGCGTCACCGCTGACCACCTGGAAACATGGGCCGGTGTTGTGCCAAAAATCTATTGGCTGCCAAATAGTGACTGCGGGAGCGTGCACCGGAGGACTTTAACAAGAATTTAACAAGATATACACTTAAAAACAATTATTTGTTTGCTTGACATTATAGTAAAGGTGTATCTCAGTTTAACTTTTCCTTAATAAATTAACTTTAATGGTCAAATCAGTTGCATTTCAAAAATAGATTTGCGAAAGCGGGAGCACACAGAGGGAGGATTTTCTGTGCATTTCTTCGAAATTTAACAAGATAACCATCTGAAAACAATTATTTGTTTGCTCAACATTACAGCAAAGGCGTGTTTCAGTCTAACTTTGGTCAAATCAGCTGCATTTCACCTGGGCGGCGCGGTGAAATGCAGCTGATTTTTGATGTTTGCTCCAGGAGTTCCAGAGGGAGACAATGGTGGCTTTGTATGGCAAGCCAAGTGTCTCTTTAATAGCCAATTTTACATATTAATAAGACACTTGGCTTACCATATTACTTGAGCGCCCTCTAGCGACCGAAAATAGTAGTGTTCAATATTTTCCATGTCAGAATGAATGAAATCATCAGATCTCAGCCTAAAATTGGATTATAAATATGGGGGAACAAAAACGTATTTTAGTTGCTTCGGTGTATAAGTTGTAGGGTTTGCAAATTTATGCAAAAAGGTGCAACTTATATGGCAAAAAATACGGTATTTAGACTACAAGAATGTCTTAAAGACAAAAACCTGGATGACCCTAAATTTTCTGCTTTTGAACACAGACAAGACTGAGGTTTTGGTTTTTGGACCTGAGCATTTTAGGAATAAATTTTTCAGTCTTTCACTCCCCTTAGATGGAATTAATCTGTCCTCCACCTCTAATGTTAAAAATCTTGGTGTTATTTTTGATCAGGACATGTCTTTTATCCCCCACATTAAAAACGTTACTAGAATCACCTTCTTCCACCTGCGTAATATCACTAAAATTATAAACATCTAAAAATGATGCAGAAAAACTGGTTCATGCATTTGTCACGTCTAGACTGGACTATTGCAATGGTTTATTATCTGGGTGTCTAAATTCTTCATTCTTCAGTTAATCCAAAATGCTGCTGCCAGAGTCTTAACTGGAGTTAGTAGGTACGATTATCTCTATCCAGTTTATCAGAATTGAATTCAAAATCTTACTTCTAACCTACAAAGCCCTCAAAATCCTAGCTCCATCTTATATTAAAGATCTTATTGTTCCATATTTTCCTAACAGAGCACTTCACTCTCAGACTGCAGGCTTACTTGTGGTTCCTAGAGTTTCCAAACGCAGAATGGGAGGAAGATCTTTCAGTTGTCAGGCTCCTCTCTTGTGGAACCAACTTCCAGTTTCTGTCCATGAGGCTGACACATTGTCCAGTTTTAAGACTGGGATTAAGACTTTCCTTTGTGATAAATCTTATAATTAGTGTTGGCTTGGTTTCCTGAGCTATCCCTTAGTTCTGCTGCTATAGGCTTAGACTACTGGAGGACAAATTGCCCTCATTTCCTCACATGAATAGTTACAAATAAACAGTTTGTAATTATTTCCATCTTAAAATGTTTTTTGTTTTTTTTGTCTTTCCTCCTGGGACCTGCCAACGTCCATTCAAAACCTGCCATTCTGTTTCCGTTTCTCCTTCCTGTCTTCTCATACGCAGCTGGTCAAAGCAGATAGCCACTTGTCCTGAGCCTGGTTCTGCTGGAGGATTATTCTTGTTAACAGGGAGTTTCTCTTTTCCACTGTTGCCTTTGTGCTTGCTCAGGATCGGAGACTGCCCCGAAATGAAGACAACACAATCTGCTGGCTTCTTTAGATAGAGAACTTGTACTAACTGGCTTTTATAATGTACAGTATGTGAATGGTTTTGTTCAGTGCCCTGTTGTGACTTGGCGCTTTATAATTAAACTGAATTGAATTGAATTCTAATTCAATAAGACAGATATGGAAAACTGACCTGCTTTTTGCTAACTGTGTTGTAATATGTTGGCCGCAACTGTTGCAGTCAATGAAACACCATGTAAATTATATCTATTTACCCCCCATGAAAACCATTATAGATCCTTTTCCAAAGTTTCTTTCCTCCAGTTAAATTTAGTTCTTTTGTTCTTATTCTGCAAAATGAGTGATGTTACATCTTAAAGTATGAAAGTCTGAAAAAAGCACTTGGAGGGAAAACATGAAAGTTGGAAAAAAAATACAAAGGAATTAAGTAACGCAAAGCTTAAGCACAGCAGAGAGGGAGAGGGTGGGGCCTCTATTCAGGACATACAAATTAGTGCACTTTCCTCCTCAAGTTCTGCTGAAGCTGATGATACACTGTTAAGTTCTTTAAATATTTCAGAGGCAGAAACGTCAGACTGCCAGGCCTGAAATCCTCCTGCTGGGCACCAAATGGTGAGGAAAAACTGAACTGGCCTTTCTGCGTAGGTCAGATGGAAACTCTGACATCCTCGTGCATGAACTCCTGAGTTAAATAAAGTATTTAAATGTCTTTGTTTTGTTCCAAGAAATCTCCATTAAACGAGGAAAACAAATGCCAAAACAAAACGGCCTGCATTTGTAACCAGGAGTTATGATCTTATATTTAGGTTTAAAAATCTATTACTCACTCAACAGGCAAACAATTCATGTTTCTGCTCGAGTCTGTCTGAGTAAACGTGTGTGTTTCTGTTTACCAAAATGTCTTGAGAACCACTGGATGGATCCAACAAAGTTCAGTCAGATCATCTGGACGGTTTCTTTCTTGTTGAGATGTTTCATCCTTCATCCAAAGGACTTCATCAATCCGAGGAACTTTGATGTTTTGAACCACTTTGGCTATGGCTGCCTCAGAGGAGTCGACAGGGGAGAGGGCAGGCCCCAGAAACCACCTTATCACCATCAAACTGGTTGGTTCTCTATGTGAGTGTGCTGCTTGCTGGACTGAGTTTGATTGTGGCTCCTCGGATTGATGAAGTCCTTTGGATGAAGAACAAAACGTCTCAACAAAAAAAGAAACCATCCAGATTAACTGATTGAATTTTGTTGGGTTTTCTACCTGGATTATTGAGCAGGAACTCTGACACTGGTTGAATATTTAATAACAATTGCAGAAAGTAATCACTGGATCTATATCTGCTTAATATTTTGGGTCAATCCAATGCAAGATGGCAGCCACAGTCAACAGATCTTAAAAATCAATAACACAAAAACCGCTATAAATTAGAGGTGGCATGTCTGCGCCTGGGCCCAGCTCAACATGACCCCAAAAATTTGGGCTGGGTCAGGCCATAATAACGTGCTTGATGGGTGGGCCGTGTCAGTGTTGGGCTTTTGATGCAGTTTTACAAATGATACAGCATAAAGAAAACTAAATAAGAACACGCAATATAAAATTGTGTTAAGCTACTTGTTGAGAAGGAGACAGGTCTGACCGTCCGGTTGAAAGAGGTAAATAAGAAAAAAAGTCCAGTTGAGCTTCAGATGGATCACCTGATCACCGGTCGCACACGTCCACTGACCGTCCGGTTGAAAGAGGTAAAAGAAATGTCCATTTAAGTTTCAGATGGATCACCTGATCACCGGCCGCGCACGTCCACTGACCATCCGGTTGAAAGAGGTTTAAAAAAAAGTCCAGTTAAGCCTCAGATGGACAACGGGATCATCAGTGTCACGTGTCCACTGACTATCTGGTTGAAAGAGGTAAAAAAAAAAAAAAAGTCCAGTTAAGCTTCGGATGTATCACCTGATCACCGGCCGCGCACGTCCACGACCGTCCGATTGATAGAGCTAAATAAAAGTCCAGTTAAGCTTCAGATGGACAACGGGATCATCAGCTGCGCAAGCCCACTGACCGTCCGGTTGAAAGAGGTAAAAAAAAATGTCCAGTTAAGCTTCAGATGGATCAGCTGATCACTGGTCGCGTGCGTTTCCGCACCCTGCTGTCATCTGCGGTGAAGGAAGTATCTGAAGCTACAAAAGCCGAAGCGAGCAGAGCGTTCAATTAAAATAGCCTCATTCTATATTTTCACAAATAATTTGCTCTAAAAATACTTT